CTCATTATGAAGCACTTGGAACGGTTTTGGGGTAAAGAAAAGGGATTATTCAACCATTTCTTGCGAAGACGTACCTGGAGTTGAGGCTGAGGATCTAGATCTGAAGTGTTCACTGTGGCCATTGAAGGTTTTTCTAGTAGGCAGCGATGAGTACTTTCTTTGGCTGGTGAATCACGAGGGGTAGAGCCGTCTGACCAAGTCCTCTTAGTGGACACCTAACTGGACAACTTGGCGATAATACCGCATATCATAAGGGAAGAAAAGAAAAGAAAAAAAATATCAAACAGTAAATATCAACTGCTCTGATGTACACTTGAACTGGTTGGTTGGTTGTTTTGATGTTATAGGTGCGAAACATCTAGGCCATCAGCGCCTTATCCATAAAATATTTAGCTTATAAAAAAATGAATAAAGGAGTAACAATAAAAATTAAATAAATAAAATAAGGAAGGAAAAGTTATATATATATATATATATATATATATATATATATATATATATATATATATATATATATATATATAAGTTAAGGTACGGAGCGGGACAGTATTAGCTTTAATACCTAAAGCATTTATGTAAACAACTCAGAATGTATATATAGGAGATTATAAGGAGCAATAAAGCAGTCTTGTTTCTGACTTCATGCGTGTTATTTGTGGATCCTTTACTCTTTTTTTTAAGTGTTTGAAGCCCGCAGCGTTTAACTTATATATATATATATATATATATATATATATATATATAGATATATAGATAGAAAGAAAAAAAAACTTTATTCTGGGACCAAGTCCCTTTAGAATAACAAAATTGTACAAAAGAATAGAATAATACTGGCCTAAACGTTTGAAACAATAAATAAAATTGATAAAATGAAATAAAAAGTAAAGAAAACCTCAGGTGAATAAGCTATATACAATACAGATAAAACTATGTACAGAGCATTTAAAACTATGAACAAAACACTTAAAACTATGAATGAAACACTTGAAACTATGGACAAAACTATACACAAGGGTTGAACAACATAAACATACACTTTGAGAAATGAAGAACGAAAAAGAAATATAATAAGTTCATTTCATAAAAAAACTTTACTTGTATATATATGTCAAAAATATTTAGTTATAATTGAATAAAACAAAAAATGTATGTATTGAAATTCCTACGTCAATAGTAGGAAATGAATTTACTATCTCTTACCAAGTATTATCATACGATTATATAATTGCTACACAATACGTATAAAGTATTAATAGTTAGCTGGTATCTGACTGTTTATGGAACAGGAATTGGAATAGGAGGTTTTTGAATGTGTATAGGGAGGGGGCATGCAGAATTCCAAAAGTTGACAGAGCGGGTTATAAAGGAATTTTGGAATGAGGCAGATCTATGAGAAGTGATGTCTAGGTCAGAGGATCGAGAACTTGTAGTGAGGGATTGGATTGAGGACTTAAATTGGAGAAGGTTGTAAGCATAAGAAGGACGATGATCGGTAATGATTTGATAAAGGAATGTGCCTAGGAAATATTGTCTTCCTATAATATATATATATATATATATATATATATATATATATATATATATATATATATATATATATAAAAGAAAACAATTTAAATAAGAGAAGATAAATAGCAAATAGTAATTATTATTTTAGCTCTTTCATTAAATTTGTTCTTGTTAGAAATGTTATTATTTTGTCAGTTCTATTGTTATATTTTCCTGATGATAGTAATATATTTTGTCACATCATTTACGACTATAAAACGGATAATCTTGGATTCATAATTGGTAATTGGTTGACTGTCGTGGATAATGAAGAGAAGAATAGTTGGGGTGATCAGTCAAAAAGGAAGGCAAAAATAAATGATAATATTTATTTTTACATATGCCGACGTTTCGACCTGAAGTTCAGGCCTTCATCAGGGCTGTATACTTAAGTGTTGCAGGGAGAATGAGAATTCATATCTTGATAATCTTGGAAAATGAGAGTTATGGACAGGATACTAATGCAATACTGACGTCTAGGTGAAGAGGTGGAGGTGTGCCAGTCTGGAGTGTCCGATGCTAAACCGAGCAAGGACGACTTCCTTTCTGCTAATACTGCGATCATTCTTTATTAGTTTCAGTTTGCTTGGAGCGCTCTTATCCCATTTGTCTTGCCATTTCTTTTGGATGCTCTCTTTGATTCTTTGGAAGCCGTGAGAGATTTGATGGTGTTAGCAGGATCCCACCACGAACTGGTAGCGAGGGTGCTTCTTTTGCTGCTTTATCGACCATTTCATTGGCTTTTATGTCCAGGCAGCCATATGTAGTTAACTGATTTTCCGTTATCAATCATAAATGTTCCTATTTTAAGTATTAGTTGACTTCCTGGATGATCGGAATACATGTTTGCTATTTAGAGCACTTGAGGAATCTGAAGCAATTACTATAGTTTTGTCAGGTAATATAGATGAATATTCTAGGGCCATAGTTATGGTATTTACACTTCAACTGTATTCAGTGAATAATCAGAGAGATTCCCCTGAAAAATACGCAAAAACTGAGAGTCGAGTTGAGAGCATAACCTTCGCATCAGCTGATCCACTGCCTTCTCGTTGGAATTAGCACATTAAATAAAATTAAAATTATTATTCTAAGAAAAAATAATAATACAAAAATTTAAAGGAGAAAAGGAAGCTGACACTGTTCTGACTTATCGGTCCTTTGTACTGGAGACCCCACAGTGTTTTATTTTAATTGGAGCACCTCAGCTAAGCCAGATTTACAGTGATGACGCCCTCCAAAGCTGTCACCCTTTCGGGTTTTTTATCGGATCCTCTCGATCTAATACTCGGCAAATTGATGAGAAATAAAATCCGGCGAAGACGTTAACTGGGATTGATTCACAACAGACTCCTAAGACTCTCTGTGCTTGACTGTTTATACTCGAATCTTGTCCGGTTACCATGGACTAAAGGTTGGCTGATAAGCTTCTATTAGTCTTTAAACGGATACTATCACTTTGGAAACAACTTATTATCTATAGAATATGTACATTTAAACATTATTTTTCTTAATTAGGACATTTTTCTGTTCATTAAATAAAAATATTGAAACATTAATAAAAATCTAATCATATAAAATAAAAAAAGATTAAAACAGCATTGCTAACGAAAGTAAAACAACTGGAATCCAACATAGAGCGTGGGATTATTCATAGGAGTTATAACACTGTCTTACAAGAATTAGTAGCAGTGGTTCAGTTGCTCAGATTTGTTTTCAACTAAGAATAGGCAATAGACTATGATCTTGAAATGAAAAACTAAGTTAGTCACTGCGGAAAACTACCCGTACTACAAAGATTTTGTGTACGGGTGGAAAGTCGCGGTGGGGCCAGTCCATTTTAATTTAAGAAGAGGAGGAAGAGGTACTATACCATTGGCGTGAAACGGATGAGGAAAGCAACCATGAAGAAAGAGAGAAAAAAATGAAGAAAGAGCAGAAGAACAAGATTCATTTGCAGCAGTGAGATGTTGAGCTGACCTGCCTAACATCTTACTATTGCAGACACCCGTATAGCCTACTAGGCACGGCAGGGTTGATAAATAAAAAAATAAAAAAAATAAACAAAAAAAAAAAAAAAAAAAAGATCTTGAAATGAAAAAATAATTTTATTCTGGGACTACTGTCCCCTAAGAATAATAACAGAGTTACAAATTTATGGGTCTTGGTCTGACATAATCAAAATACAAACTAATTTACTGTTAATTGTTATTTCAATTGTGCAATAGATTGTACATTGTACAATAATAGATTAAACATTGTACAGATGCAAGTAATTTTACATTTTAGGAGAAGTTTGAATGTGGAGTAGGTGTTGGAACAGGAGTTGTTTGAAGGAATTTGAGGACGAGGATTGAAGCATGGAGGTAGTAAGTGAGTTCCATAAGGAAGCAGCACGAATGACGAAGGAAAAACTTTTATGGGAGGGAATATATAAGTCTATAGGTTGAGACCTAGCATTGAGAGAGTGGATAGAGGAACGTAGAGTAAGGAGTTCCAGGATGTAGGGAGGGTTTTGGTTCTGAAGACTTGGAAAAGGAAAACACCAAGGAGGAATTGCCCTCGGGAAGTAGGATAAAGCCGCTTCAACTTGTGTCACATGTGTGCCAGAGTGAAACATGTGAACGCCTGGGGATCCCGTAAATGTATTTTATGAAACAATTCATGAGTCTTTTTTGATGATTGAGTCATGAGATCTTCTTCCTTATTTTCGTTCACTTCTTTTATTTCAATTAAAATTTTACTTTTCCTCTTATCTTTAAATATTTTATACGTATTATTGGTGTAAGTATTATTATATTTTCATTTATGTAATCGCAAAAGAACACAATGTAATGGAATGACTACGCAATTTGTTTCAAGAAATTGATACCTCTTATTAATTAGACGGAGACACAACCTATTTATTTTTTTTTTGTTAATTACTGACAAGCGCTCTCGCTCAAATTGGCTTCAGCACCAGTGAAGCGGTTGAGAGAGTAGCGCAGGGATCTCTTGGAGTCCTGCTTTTCCTTCTATAGTTGGAGGGAGAAGCCTGGCTTGGGGTTCCCTGCCTAATTGTATATATTGTATATAGGTATGACTATGTTCTTTAATTTACTTATCTTTAGGTTATTTTATTTTTTTATTGTACATAGTTATCGATTATTATTTTACTTTTGTTTATTTTATATTGTCTGTATATGGTGTGAATGTGTTCATATATCACTATAATCTATTTTCCACGTGACAGATTGTTATAATTCTAAATAAATAAATTAAAAAAAAATTACTGACAATACGCATAAATATAACTATAAACAAAATTCATAACTGTGTGTCAAGTAATAAACCCTGTTGTATGAAGCTTACTATAAAATTGAAGGGTTCGCTTTCAAAAGTTGTCATCATCATTCGAAACTGACACTTGAATATTTAAGGTATTTTGTTATATTAATATGATTGTATATTACTTGTTGCATTGGTGAAATAGGATCCTCTTGCGATTCTTCTCCAAGTGTTAAGGCAGCTAATCCCACTATGAAGATTAAATAAAGCAACTTCATTTTATCTGAAATTAAAAAAAGAATATAATGATTTATTTTATAAACTATAATTAAAGCTATAAACTACAACAATTAATCTGAATGTTAACATTGTAATAATGTATAATTAGGTCCTATGGATAAGTAAGTAGCACAAACTGAAAGATTTTTTTTTTATTTTTTATTTTTAAGATTACTTGTTTAATGATAAATATTACAATCTCGTAATTATGAGATCCAACAATACATCAAATATTTCAACAATGTAATTTCTTATAATAGCGTCCAGAGCGCACATTAAAAAAATATTTACAGAATCATAAATAAATACGGTAATAATATCCATCGAAATAAGAACGAAATAAAATATCATAGAAAAGATATCATGACACTTGTAGAGCGTGAGTAGAAAAGCGAGGCTTTAGAAAATCCCTGCGCTTCTCCCTCAATCACTTTACTGGCATTAAAAGACAGCGAAGGCTGAATAAGGACGCTACAACCACAGAAACTCCAGGCCATTGCCAGAACTCCAATATATACATGTTACAAAAGGTCACGGGGCCACTGCTGTTTTAACCTGCGAGAAAGATTATAGGGATGGGTGGTGCTTGATATGGACTGTGCTCCGGGATTAGGCTGATGAGTAAGGTTCCGATAAAATTTGGAAAAATGTTCTGGGATAAGATCAAGAATAAATGGAACATTAAAGTCATTATGCAGGATTTTATTGGTGACATAGAAGGAAGCATCGACCATTGTACAGAGGACTTTAGCCTAAAAGGATTGAATGCGTTTGATGTTAGAAAATTTGATTGTCCCCACAGTTCTGGTCCGTAGGTACAGATGGGTTTAAGTATTGTGTAGTTTAGATCAGTAATTTATTTTAATAGAAAATTTACATTTTCTATTAATTAGTCTATATAGTTGGCCATAGCGTCGATTAAGTTCCTGCCTTTTAAGTCTAGTTTGTGGATTCCACGCTAGTCGTCTATCTAAGAGAAAACCAAGATACCGGACTGTGTCGGAGAAGAGAAGCTGGGTGGAGTCAAAATAAACTGGTGTATAGGAATTATGACGAAGGATGAAGTTTATATGTTTACATTTGGATTCATTGACTTTGATGAGTCATTTCATGCACCAGTGTTCAAACAGGAATAGGCGCCTTTGCAGATTTATGGATGCTGTTCTTAGGATTTGAGCTTGAAGATAAGATAGCAGTGTAATCAGCGAAAGTTGCCAGGAGGGTATCGGGATGGACAGGAATATCAGCGGTATAGATGATGTAAAGGATGGGGCCCATGAGGCTGCCTTGAGGAAAGCCAGTCTCAATTGAGTAACAGTCGGAGAATTCGGTACCACAGCGAACGCGAAAGGAGCCGTCGGAAAGATAGGATCTGAGTACTAGGTATAAGGACTTTGGTAGGTGGAATTTATGCTTTAAGAGCAATCCTTCGTGCCATACCCGGTCTAAAGCTTGCGCTACGTCCAGAAATGCACCCGAGCAATACTGCATACTTTCTAGGGTTGAGGATACATGGTCAACAACTCGGAGTCCTTGTTGGACAGTGGAATGTTGGGAATGAAATTTGAATTGATGAGTAGGAAGGTTATAGGATTCTATTATAGGTAGAATTCGTTTCACTAGTATCTTTACAAAAAATGTTGAGAGGATTGGGAGTAGGCTAATTGGTCTACAGCATGCTGTATTGTTGGAAGGTTTGCCTGGTTTCAAGAAGAGGACGATATTGGGATGTTTCCATAAGAGAGGAAAGTGGGTAGTTCGTAGGAAGCAATTGTATATATATATATATATATATATATATATATATATATATATATATATATATATATATATATATATATTATATATATATATATATATATATATATATATATATATACGTGTGAGAAATATGATGGCTTTGGATGGAAGTTGTCGAAGGATCTGTGGGTTTAGAAGGTCATATCCAGGAGATTTGCGAGGAGTGATTTTACGCAAAAGGTATTTGACCTCAGAGGGATTAACAGCTTTAGGTGATAAGGAGAGTGGGATAGGTGTAGAGAGGAATTCTTCTACTTTTACTGTGTGGCTGGGATGGGATTCCAGATGAGGAGTGAAAGTATAGGAAATGTGTTTTGCAAACTCCTCGGCTTTATCTTCATCAGATGATGCCCAGGAGCCATCACCTCGTCGAAGGGGTTGGAAAATATGATGGGATTTGAGGATTTTTTTGGTGATATTCCAAAGGGAATTTTGACATTTTATATTGTCATATTAGTCTTTTCTTTGTTTGCAGAAACACAGAGCTTATTTTAAAGAAGAATTCAATGTATATTTTATTATTTTATTTCTCAAATGTGTATAATTATAATTTTTTCTACTGTACATAGTTTTAAATAATTTAAATATATAGTTTGTTTAATTAATATTTTCTATAATTTTTTTTTTATTGTTTTATTTAGGCCAGATGTAGTATTTTAATTCTGTACTATTTTGTTATTCTAAAGGACTTTGTCCCAAAATTATTTTCTATTTCTATATCAAACAGTGCCTTTTCTTTATTTTAATTTTAGATCTAGATAACTTTATAATTTAATTCAATCCTAATTATTTTTAAGCCAGACAATTTTTATTAAATTTTACATTGTAGTTATTCTAAGGGAACTTAGTCCCAGAATACATTTTTTTTTTTTCTCCTTCTATATTTTAAAATAAAATTGCAAAAGAAATTAAATTACGTAAACTTAGACGAGGTCAATGAATCACATTTAAAAGTAAACTTATTATTAAAATGTTGCCCTCTCTCAGTTTCCACTGGACTCCAATGCCAGTGACGTGGCTGAGAGAGAACTGCTGGGATCTCTTAGAGTCTCGCTTAGTCCTTCACACGTTGAGGAAAGGGCAGCTCCCTTGGCTGATTGAAAATATTGTAATTAAGTATGAATGTTTTTCTTTTTTTATCTATTTATTTATTTTACTTATGATTTATTTAATTTGCTAAGAATTTCTGTATTTTTTAAAAATTTGATTTCAAGTTATATTTCTTTGATTTTACAGTTGTTGCCTTTGTTATATAGATATATATATCTTTTTATTTTTATTTTATTTTATTGTATTGTATATATAGTATGAATGTGCCTCACTCAGCTTTAGTACTCAGTTCCCTTAATTGTCGCGAAATGTATTATTTCTCAATAAAAAGATTTAAAAAAAAATATATATATATATATATATATATATATATTAAAATGTATTATCTGCTCTTGAGACAGATTATAATATTTTTCAATAAATAAGATTAAAAAAAAATGTATTATAGAATGTTATTTTAATGGAAAACAGGTAAATGAAAGTAACACATTCAGAAAACAGCAGTGGTTCGACAGCGAATGTATAAAGTCCCATAACAAGTGTTTTAGGTTCCTGAATATTTATAGAAAGCGAAAAAATAATTATACTAAATTACTATATATCAGTGCAAATAATGAATATAAAAAATTAGTTATCAAAAAATGGAAGGATTATTATAAAAATATCAATGAAAAATTTAAATGCATTAAGGATACTAAACAGCTGTGGACATTGATAGATCAATTTAAGAATAGAAATTTTATTAGTGAGTCGAATATTACTTCTGAGCAGTTCCGACATTGTTTTAACTCGTTGTTCAGTCCTATTATAAAAGTTTATCAATTTTTTTATGCGCCTCAAATTAGAAAGATCTACAGCTAGATAGAGAAATCACTATAAGAGAATTAAAAATTACATTAGAAAATCCAAATAATAATAAGGCGACAGTATTCGATTCTGTGTATTATGAATTCTTCAAAACTTCTCTAGAATGCGTTTTTTTGCACATGGTTAAGATATTTAATGATTATTTTAATACTGCGAATATCCCACAGAGATTCACCGAATCGAACATTTACCCTTTATTTAAAAAAGGAGATGTCCATAAAAAAGAAAATTATAGATGCATTTCCTTCATTAATTTTTCTACTAAATTATTCACTGGTGTTTTATTGGGCCGTTTGTGGAACTTGGTGAACACAAACAAAATTTTAAATGACTTTCAATTGGGATTTCGACCGTGGACCACATTTTTACTTTGTTCAGCATCATTAAATTGACTCTCGAAAGAACGTCGTAAAATCTATGAATTCTTTGCAGCCTTTTATTGCTAGATTTTTAAGTTGACCAATTTCGGATTGTCACATAAATTTTGAAATATCTTAAAAAATATGTATTTAAAGACTAAAGCGACATTATATCACTGTCTGCTAAGTCTTTTACTTTTCGCGCATTTCTTAAAAGATTCGCATGAGGATCTGGATGAAGGATTAGACATCAGAGATATCAACATTAGGTGTTTGCTTTACGCTGATGACGTTGTAGTGCTCTAGCCCCATCCCCAGTAAAGTTACAACGGATGATAAGCAGCCTGGAGAGTTATTGCCGAATGTGGAATCTGCAGATAAACAGATAATGCAGTTAAACAGATAATGCCGAATGTGGAATCTGCAGATAATGTGGAAGCAGCCTCGCGCGGGCTCATTACCGCGTATGGGGAGCGTCCCACGGGTGGCGGATGTGGGGATGGTCGGTGGAAATTCCTTGGAAGTTCCTCCCGGCTAAGTCCGATGGACTCGCTGACCAACAATGAGAGGGGCCCTCCAGACTTGCTGGAGGGAGGGGACCTCCAGACTTGCTGGACGTAGGGGCCCACCAGACTTGCTGGAGGGTGTGACGTAGGATTGTTCGCCCTACTCACATATCTTTAGTTCACCAAACACCACAAAAAGTCATGGATCTCTCTAAGGTAAAACGCTCATTATCCGGAGGTATACTAGTCCCCCGTTCGGGTCTCCGGGTGGGGACTGCTTTAGGGGATTCATGGCGCAAGTTGAAATGTAGGGATTTAAATATTGGTACATGGAACGTAAGGAGTTTAAACACAGCAGGGGGGCTAAAATCTGTCGCGAATGAGGTAAATGGGTACAATTTGGATGTCGTGGCTCTGCAAGA